CTGTAGCGAATCGATGTGTTTTTGTAAGAAAAATATCCATATTCAAAACATAATAATCACTTGAATCTAGCTTGCGCTCACTGTTGTAAACAGAAGCAGTTCCGGGGGAATGATGTATGAGGTCTTTTCACTGAACGGCTTGAAGCAATGCAACACCCGCTGAGGGGCATTAAACAGCTTGAAAGATCAAAGACAATTTTTTATATAACTCCGACTGGATTTGTCTGAAAGAAGAAAGTCATATACACCTAGGATGCCTCGGGGGTGAGCAAAACGCAGCCTAATTTTCATTTTAGGGTGAACTAACCCTTTAAGAAACACCAGTAACAAACAAAGAACTTTCCAGAGGGTAAAAGCTATTGCTCATAGGTTGCCCTTTCATAGCCAAAGACACTTGAGTTGCCAGTTATATTTTCCTGTATGTATATATATATATATATATATATATATAGAACCATACAATTGATGTGGATATAATCTCATCTCAGATCATTTGATCTCGGAATGTGATGAGAAATATTCATAATGAAATTACTGACTAATTGCATATTTCATATGCAGTTTTATATATTACTATAGGATGGTTTGAGATGTGAACATTTCTCAAGAGGCACATGTGTGATTACTAGGATCCTAGGCATATTCTCCCAAAAATGCAAATGATGTCCTTATTTTCACACCCTCATGTAATTTCAGAGCTGTATGAATTCCTATTTGTGTTCCACAGAATTTCTATTTTCTGTGATGATATTTGCACCCCAGTGATAACATTGGACTGCATGGCTTTCACTGAATGAAAATATTGGTAACACTTTACTTGAAGCCTTTATGCATTATAAAGTGTTATTAAAGGGTATAATGCATTATAATTATTCATAATGTAATACGATACATCTTGTCGCAAATAATTATAGCCGAATTTAAAAATCATAGTGTAACAATGAATTGATAAGTGTTATATATTAACTGCGGTTACAATTATTCATGAGATTGTACAATGCATTATGAGGTGCATTACAATGCATAATTAATTAAAACTACTTTTATAATGCATTATACATAAAGGCTTTAAGTAAAGTGTTACTGAAATATATGCCACTACTGACTACAACAAACAAGTGAGAGATATAATTTATTATTTTCTACAGGGTTAGTTAAAACAAATGACTCATGTATGCCTCTCTTTCCATTACGGTTCCCTTGAGCTCCTCTAGTGACAAAGCTCGCTAGATTTCTCAGATCCATTCAGGTCACAATTACAGACCTCACACACAGGAAACTGGGGTGTGGGAGAGGGCAGATCTTCACAATCAAAACACACTCCCATAGAGACAGTCTTAGACCCTCCAGGGTAGGTCGAACGGTACCTTTAGCTCTTTGCAACAAGCGGCAAGTGCTCCCTGATGTAATCTTTCAAAGAAAGAGTGGAGGAAAGTGGGCTTGTAACTTATAGCAACCAAGAGCCAATGAGAGAGCAGAGGCAGTGCAGCTATGGTAATGAGGCTCCTCTGAGAGGCAGCAGCAGTCATGCCTCCAACAGCAAACATAATAATATAGCCATGCTTTTGATTTATTTACACTGATAATCACTGATCATTCCACACATAAATTACAAGTTATTAAAAATATAAAGCAAAATACATGCAGAGCATTCTGGAAAAAAATTAATAAATGAGACATGGGCCCGGGCTATATTAGGGGAAAACTCTATTACTTGTCAAATTTGACTTCACACATTTTAACAAGAAGTGTAACAGCAAATCAGCAAAAATTCATCAGGAAATACAAATACACGTTCAAACTGCAGTTGTATCTGCAATATGTGAGGCTCAAGATTTTGACTTTTGACTTTTATTGGCTTCGCAAAAATAAATAAACAAACAAACAAAACATTATATATATTTACACCATCATTCAAAAGTTGGGGTCAGTAAGATTTAAAAAAAAAATAAAGTAATACTTTTATTCAGAAACACTACAAAAAAACAGTAAAGATATTTATAATGTTACAAAATATTTATATGTTTTTTTACTTTATACTCATCAGAGAACGAGAAACTGAAAAAAATGTACCACGGTTTCCACAAAAATATTAAGCAGAACAGCTTTAATGAGTTCTGAAGGAAATCATTAATTCTGAAGGATTTCAGAGTAACTGCTGTTCAGTTTTTGCCATCACAGGAATAAGCTATAATCTATTTTAAAATATATTAAAATATATAGTTTTTTTATTTTAATAATATTTACAACAATATTTGTAATAATCTTTGTTATAATTATTGATCAAATAAAAGGAGCAGCATTTATTACTACCAAATAAATCAGAATAAATGTAGTGCAAAACTCATACTTCAAAAACAATCACAAATTATTCTAGCGATCTTAAAGGGGTCATCGGACGCAAAATTCACTTCACATGTTGTTTGAACATAAATGTGTGTTGGAAGTGTGTGTACACATCCATCCTATAATGATAAAAAATCCACCCAGTGTTTTTTTTTTAATCCCTATTTTAAAATCCTCTTTCTCAAATCAGGCTGTTTGTTCTTAGATTCCTGTCAGAATGACCTGCTCAGGCCGCTCCCACGATATTTGATTGACAAGGCCATCTTACCTTAGACCTGCCCTGAGTGAGCTAGGGGAAGACAAGAATGTCTCAGATTAAGCGATTGAGGGGTTCAACTTGTGGAAAATGGGCATCCGATGACCCCTTTAACAAAATCTCATCTATTGTAGCCCGCTAGAGTTCTAAAAGTTCTCAAAGCATAAAAAACCAACAAGATCAACATAGACAAGATATAGTGACAATGCAGCAGTGACAGTTACATCATCTGGCTCCGGGAGGGCTATCTTTATTGCTGAGCCCTGTAATAAATTTTATGTCAGACCATCTGATATAAACAAAACCTCAGCAGTAACTACACAACCGGACATTCACAAACTAGCTCTGAGCGCTCAACTAGCAGCACGAGAAACACGAGAGTACAGACAAGGACGAGAGAATCACCTTTGTCACCTTTTGCAGCCCTGTCAGCGAGCCACTCATTATCCATTCATCATCCTCTTTCCCCTATCAAAGACACCTATCCTCTCAAAACCAAACACACAAGCTCACTCTCTCACCAACAAACAGATGTACCTGTAAGGGATCCAGTCAGACGAGTGTTTGGAGCTCATATCTGTGTGTGTTGAAGGGGTTCAGAGTGCAGGGGGAAGGGTAGCGGCAGCAGAGTAGGACAGCAGCAGCGATGCCAACAACAGAGCCCATGCAGCCCAACCATCCCCTGCACTTCTGTCTCCGCTATCTACAGATCTACAGTCTCTTCCATTCACATAGCTCCTGCCTGCAGTCCGCAACGGATCCTTTTCATCGTGAGCCGGACTCAGCTGCCTCGCTGGGACTCCAGTTCCCTCGGCATGTGCTGTTTTCTTTCTGTTTGTTCACAATCCCTCGTGCTTTATTCTTCCGTTCACCTTCACTGTGAGTCTCTCGTCATCGTCTGTGTACTGTGGCTCTCGCTCACTGCGCCTCGTACCGACTGCCTCCTTCCCTCCCTTCTCTCTCTCTCTCTCCCTCGCTTGCTCTCTCTCTTTCAGACCACTGTCATTATAACCTTACACACAGCCCTAAGAAGGGGAGAACATATAAGAGTGAATCCCTTTTGTCTAACTGCTTTGATGTTTGTCGCGATGCTCCGCTGGTCCATCAACACACACACAGATACACACGAGGCTCTGAAAAGCAGGTGCCTCAAATGCTTTTTCTGAGCCATGATTTATTCATCCTTTCATTCAGCGCTGGGCTCATTAACATGGGACAGAGCAGCGCAGTTGTAATTGTCTTTGATTTAACATGCTGAATCCAAACTCAGCACACCATTTTGTCTTTGTTTATTGGCTTTCCGCTTTTTTTCTTTGGTCCCCCTGGTACTTCACTCAGCTAAATGAGGATCTGACTTCATATACATATTTGAATATCAGCATTATCACACCACCTTCATTAGCCACTGCCGAGAACAAAGGTAAATGAACTCATCTCCATTGTGGATGTTGTATTTTAATGCTAAAATCATATGCAGAATTCAAAAACGATGCATGACTTCTGCTGTAGTTTGTAAGCAATGTTTATGCTCATTTTAAACAAACATGATGCAGTGGCGTCTTTAATCTAAATGAAAAACAATGTTCTTCAGCTTCCTGTATGGTTTTAAGTTATTTGTCCTTCCATATTTGTCTCAAGCGCACTCCTGTAAGCTGTCGTGTTTCTCTGTAATATCCTCATGCAGCCTGAAGCATATTCTGTTTTACTGTATATCAGCTTCTTCATCTCTCCTCTGGACTCCCTCATCTTTCTTAGTGTCACACTTAGTCATGTTGATTTAGTGCATGGCTCAGGCACACACTCTTCCCTGACCAGTAAAATGATCTTGGCGCTTTGTGTGTGTGCGGTTTTTCCAGTTAAAATTTTGAGAATATAAGTAAAATCAGCAAGAAAACAAGTAAAACTACAGCACATTACTTTAGGAAATAACCATACATTAAACAAGTCTCATGTAGTAGCACCTTTGACTAACTGGCAGCTTATTCTAGACAAGAACAGCCTGATGAATGACATATAAAGCGATCAGTTGTGGTTTGTTTATGTTACAGTATGTGCTGTATAGGGCCAGCTTTATCGGTTTTATCATTGTCAGATATTGATAATATCTGACAATGATAGTTTGACAAGTAAAAAAGTCTTGTGAATGGTTCTACTGAAAACAGTTGACTAGAGCATAGCCGAGTAGAGCTGAGTATGTTCTCCCATATCCCCTAAATGCATGTTATTGATCTTATTGTGAACGATGTGTGTAATTTTTGTCTGTGAAAATGACAGACTTCTCTCTGGTGATGTATGATGGACTTTTCCATTCATTTAGCCCACTTAAATCTCACCTAGACTATATATTTACCAACTATATTTCAAAGAATATACAGTTCTGCTTGTGAATATCTAATTTAGTTGCTGGTAAATGGCTCAAAAGTGTTTTATAGAAAGCTGAATATCTTTCAAGAGACACTAAACCTACCAAATTGTCAATTTCAGTAAGTATGCACCCTAGTGAAAAATAAATATACTAAAATGTATTTGAAATACATTTATTTCATGCTAAGTATACTACAAATACATTTACATATTTATGTACTTAATAAAAGTGCCCTGTACTTTTGGTATACTAATCTGGTATACTTCAAGTCTGCTAAATTGGACCAACTTATTTCGGAAGTAGTGCTGAGGTCCAACTAAAGATATACTGAAGTATATTACTAAATTGGACCAACTTATTTCGGAATTAGTGCTGAGGTCCAACTAAAGATATACTGAAGTATATTTGATTGTGCTAAAGTGGAACCATTGCAAGTATCCTTCAGGTACACTTTAAAAATCTTGCATTTAAAGACCTATAAATTAATAAAATAAAATAATAAAATAAATATTATTCAAAAATCAATCCTCATCAATAGTGACATTCAGGGATGTAACGATTACCGGTTTGACGATAAATCGTGATAAAATACCCCACGGTTAGTAATACCGTTTCATATTTTAATTATCACAATAACCGTATTCGATTACCGCGATTTGAACAACTGAGGATAAATAAATACTGTCTAGCACAGGGCTCTGACCAGAGTGCGACCAGATGGTGTCATTTTTTCTGCCGGTGCGACTAAAATGCGAACACCGCATTGTTTAACTCATAAGAGCTGCCATTTCTGTTGCATATGTGAAACATCAAACGGCAAATGAAACTGAAAGCATAACGAAACCGCGCTACTTGTTTAAACTGCTTATAGAATGTAGAGCCTGGTTTATACTCGCCGCGTCAGCAGGAGCGCGAAGCAAAAATAACGCGAATATTGGTTTTCATGCTAACGTAAAGTAAAAGACCGCTTCTTAAACCAAAGGTGAACATGTTGGTATTCTTGTGGGGGAAAAAACATGCAAGCACTGTCACCGACAGCAAGTTTAGTTTTACTTTTCTTTTTTTTTCATTTTGAAAAGCTTGTTATCTTTGCTGTTTACCTCACGTTATGCTATGGAGGCTCTCTTTTTTATTTATTTGATTCCTCAGTGTTTGCTAAACGTTCTGTAATTTATTAGTCGGTATATAATACAGCATGTGGTGTATG